CAGGATATACTGTTAAGTGTTATTTGTGTGAATCTCCTATATATAGGGAGGGCAAAAAAACCCGAACCCGACAGCGAATCCCGAAACCCGAAGATTTCAGATCGGGTTGGGTCGCTCTTATCGGGTAACGTGTCTGGGATCGTGTCGTTATCGGGGATTTTTATTGGGTTCGGGGCAGGGAGTGGGATCGCTCCGATCCGACCCGCCCCGCCCCGAAATTTTTTACAATCTACTATAATTACCGAGAACAAAATTATTATGATTTGTATGCTAAAATTATTGTAAGTGGTTAGCCCAAAGATCTTAGCTTGAGTTGACTTGGGTCAGCCCAACTGTTTTGGGTTAAATGACCCAGTTAATAGCCCAATGTTTGTAGGCCCATGTATGTTTGCTTATATGCTGATTTTAGCTGTAAAGAGTGTTGTACATAAGTTTTGTAACAGGGGCAAAAGAGTGAGGTAAATTACTCCTTAACCTAATGCAAAAGTTTTCTCTCTTCTGTGGATGTAAACAAATTTTGCTGAACCACGTTAAATCTGTTGTTCTTTATTTCTCTATTTTACTTTTCTTTATCTTGGTATTGTCATTGCTTGTTCTTGGGTCTAAGGGCAAAACGGGAATACTCAAGCAGAAGGCTTAATTGCTGGCAGATTTTGTAATTTTTTCTGCATTGTCTTGCTGGAGCAACAATTGGTATCAGAGCTTAATATCAAATCCGGGTGGTAAAGCTCAGATTTGAGGTATTTAGGTGGTATTTTGTGTTCTGCACACAAGGTGTTCGATAAAAGTCCTGAGAGAGGCAGATTTTGAAACAAGCGGGTAAATGGCATCTACAAGCGGAACGGTTAAATTTGGGAAGTATGAATTAGAGAAGTTCAATGGGAAGAATGATTTTTCTTATTGGAGGATGCAAATGAAAAATCTATTAATCTCACAGAAGATACACAAGGCTTTGGCAGGTAAGACAAAGAAGCACAAAGATATGTCCGATGAGGATTGGGAGGAGTTAGATCTTGAAGCATGAGCATCGATCATTTTATGCCTTGAAAGGGATGTTGCTTTCTTGGTTGGTAATGAAGAATCGGCAGCTGCTGTGTGGGAAAAGTTAGAGGCAAACTTCATGACGAAAACTCTAACAAACAGGATCTATTTGAAGTCCAAATTGTTTACTTGCAAAATAGATGAAGGTTCTTCAATTCGGGAACACATCAGTAAATTTGATAGGTGTATATCAGATTTAAAAGACATTGATGTGAAGGTAGAAGATGAGGATCAAGCACTTTTACTACTTCTTTCGTTGCCAAAGTCTTATGAGAATCTTGTACAAACATTGATGCTTGTGGGTGATAGTCTTACGATAGATGAGACTAGAACGTCAATTCTAGCAGATGATCTTCGAAAGATTGCAACTGGTGACATGGCTGCTGCTAGTGGTAACAAAGACCAGTCACAAGGATTGTTTGCAAGAGGTAGAAGTAATGAGAGAGGAAAAGGCAAAGGAGGAAAGTCTAGATCTAAATCTAGAACTCTTGCTGAAAGGCGGTGTTTTAAGTGTGGCGAGCTTGGACATTTCAAAGCAAACTGTCCTAAGAAGAGAGTAGGATGGAACAAAGAAAAGAACAACAACAACAACAACAACAACAACAAAGGAAATGCACAAGAGAAGCAAGAAGCTAGTTATACCTCGGGAGAAGAAAGCAATGATGAGTGTTACTTTGCCACTTCTGATGAAGAAATCTCTGGTAAATGGATTATTGATTCAGGTTGCTCGTACCATATGTGCACAAATAGGAAGTGGTTTACTAACTATAGGAGCATAGATGGTGGAACCGTGGTAATGGAAATAACCATTCCTGCAAAACGGTTGGGCTCGGTTCTGTTAGAATCAAAATGCATGATGGAGTGGTTAGAACTTTATTGGATGTGAGACATGTTCCTGAGTTGCGAAAGAATCTCATCTCTGAAGGTGTATTGGACTCCGGTGGGTGTAAGATAGTTACATGGGAAGGAGTAAAGAAGGTTGTTCGTGGTTCTTTGGTTGTAATGAAAGGTATTTGTCAAGGAAACCTTTACGTTCTTTCAGGTACGACTGTGACAGATGGTGCAGCAGTTGGAACAAATGGTAGTAGTGGTGACCCATGTGAAAGTACTCGGTTATGGCATAGACGGCTTGGGCATATGTCCGAAAAGGGTCTTGATTTGCTTGGTAAAGAAGGTTTGTTGAAGAACTTGAAGAAGCCTTGCATGGATTTTTGTGAGCATTGCGTGTACGGTAAAGCACAACGGGTTCAATTCAAATCAAGCAAACACAAAAGCAGAGGAATTTTAGACTATGTGCATACAGATGTTTGGGGTCCGGCTTCAGTCACTTCCAAGGGAGGTTCCAGATATTTTGTCACTTTTGTGGATGATCATTCTAGGTATGTTTGGATTTACTTTCTGAAACACAAGAATGAGGTATTTGACACATTTAAGAAGTGGAAAGCAATGGTTGAGAACATAACAGGCAAGAAATTGAAGACACTTCGATCTGATAATGGTACAGAGTATACAGAAGGTGCCTTCAAGAAATTTTGTGATCATGAAGGAATTGCTAGACATTGGACGGTCAGAAAAACACCACAGCAGAATGGAGTCGCAGAGAGGTTGAATCGTACATTGCAAGAGAGATCAATGTGTATGCGATCATATGCTGGTTTGGGCAGAGAATGGTGGGCAGATTCAGTTGCTACAGCTTGCTACATTATCAATCGGTCTCCTCATGCATCTCTAGATGGAAATGTACCCTATAGGATATGGTCAGGGGAACATGCAGATTATGAGAAACTCAGAATCTTCGGGTGCACAGCCTATTATCATGTTAGTGAGGGAAAGCTTGAAGCAAGAGCCAAGAAGACAATTTTCTTGGGATATGCATCAGGTGTGAAAGGCTATCGTCTTTGGTGTTTGGAAGATTCCAAGTTTATAATCAGCAGAGATGTTACTTTTGATGAGAACTCCAATGTAGCTTCTTCAAAAGCTACGGTCCCAAATGGTGATGACATTGAGACGATCAAGTCTCAAGTAGTTGATATAGAACGTAAAAGCCAACAAGGTTCTAGTCGTGTTCACGAGGAAGATCATGGTGGTATTCACGATGATATTGAACATGAGACGGTTCAGCAAGAAAATGTACACGAACCAGAGGAACAAGAGCTCGGGGACAATTCGGTTTCTACTAGGCCGAGGCGAGCATATAAGAAAGTTCAAAAGTTGGGGTCTGATCAACCCTTGAAACACTACGGACATGCAAGTTTGGTTGAGTATGCACTCTCGATGGAGGAAGATGAGCCGGTCTCCTTCAAGGAAGCTATTTAGAATGGCAATAATGAGAGTTGGTTGGCTGCTATGGAAGAAGAGATGGAGTCTCTTCGAAAGAACCAAACTTGGGAGGTGGTCCCATTACCCGTAGGAAAGAAAGCTATTAGTTGTAAGTGGGTGTACAAGAAAAAGGAGGATTCTTCAGAACTCGATGGTACAAGGTACAAGGCAAGATTATTAGCAAAGGGGTTTGCACAAAGAGAGGGAGTAGACTACAATGAGATATTTTCTCCGGTAGTGAAACACACTTTTATCCGAGTATTGTTGAGTATTGTTGCTCATGGTGATTTGGAGCTGGAACAACTCGATGTAAAAACCGCTTTCTTGCACGGAGAATTAGATGAGGAAATATATATGCATCAACCTGATGGATTCAAGGTTGTTGATAAGGAAAGTCAGGTATGTCGCTTGAGGAAATCACTATATGGATTGAAGCAATCTCCTCGACAGTGGTACAAGCGGTTTGACTCTTTCATGCTGAAGCATGGGTTCTCCAGAAGTCTGTATGACTGTTGTGTTTACATGCAGAAGCTTCATGGAGATGATTATATTTATCTTCTTTTGTATGTGGATGACATGCTTATTGCTTCGAAGAGTAAGGTGGAGATAGATAGGTTGAAATCTCAACTTGGTAAAGAGTTTGAGATGAGGGACATGGGAATTGCCAAGAAAATATTGGGTATGGAGATTAGAAGAGAGAGGACGAAACATCGATTGTTCTTGAGCCAAAAAGGCTACATTGAGCGGGTCATTGCGAGGTTCGGGATGCAAGATGCCAAGCCAGTGGTGACTCCATTGGCTCCACATTTTAAGTTCTCTAGTAGACAATCTCCTTCTACAGCAGAAGATAAGACGTACATGGGGCGTGTGCCTTATGCCAGTGCAGTCGGCAGTCTGATGTATGCCATGGTGTGTACACGTCCAGATATTTCACAGGCGGTCAGTGTGGTCAGCAGGTTCATGGCGAACCCAGGGAAGGCACATTGGGAAGCTGTGAAATGGGTCTTGAGATATTTGAAAGGAACCACTGATATTGGTTTATGCTTTGGTGGAAATACATGTCGAATTACTGAATTTATGGATTCAGACCATGCTGGTGATCTGGATAGATGTCGATCTACTACTGGTTATGTGGTCAAAATACATGGTGCTCCAGTTAGTTGGCGATCGATGCTACAAGCAACAGTAGCGCTTTCTACTACAGAAGCTGAGTATATGGCTATAACTGAAGGTGTAAAGGAAGCACTGTGGTTGTGGGGTTTTTTAGATGATTTGGGGTTTGAGCAAGATTGTGTAGGCTTGTGGTGTGATAGTCAAAGTGCAATTCACTTAGCTAAGAATCAAGTTTATCATGCTCGTACCAAACATATAAATGTCAGATATCATTTTGTGCGGGATGTCATAGAAGATGGTGATATTTCTCTTATGAAGGTGCACACTGATGAGAACCCAGCAGACATGTTAACCAAGGCGGTACCAGGTGGCAAGTTTAAGCATTGCTTGAACTTGCTTAATATTAATCAGTGTTGATTGCCCTTGAGGGCAAAAACATTGCGGGGCGGTGTCAGGGTGAGGTGGAGTTTTCACCCGGTGAAGTGAACTACGGTGGCTTGATCCCAGATGTGGGTACGTAGGCAACCATGGTCAAATGGTGCAGCCGGATTGAGTTCTTCATATCAGGGTGTGCAATTTCTTCTTTGGTGTATCGTCCAAAATTTGAGGTCTATCAAATGTTGTTCGAGGTGGAGAATTGTAAGTGGTCAGCCCAAAGATCTTAGCTTGAGTTGACTTGGGTCAGCCCAACTGTTTTGGGTTAAATGACCCGGTTAATAGCCCAATGTTTGTAGGCCCATGTATGTTTGCTTATATGCTGATTTTAGCTGTAAAGAGTGTTGTACGTAAGTTTTGTAACAGGGGCAAAAGAGTGAGGTAAATTACTCCTTAACCTAATACAAAAGTTTTCTCTCTTCTGTGGATGCAAGCAAATTTTGCTGAACCACGTTAAATCTGTTGTTCTTTATTTCTCTATTTTACTTTTCTTTATCTTGGTATTGTCATTGCTTGTTCTTGGGTCTAAGGGCAAAACGGGAATACTCAAGCAGAAGGCTTAATTGCTGCCAGATTTTGTAATTTTTTCTGCATTGTCTTGCTGGAGCAACAACTATTATGAAGAGCAAAATTAATAATTAGCAAAAATTGTGTAGCTAAATTATTATGATTATCGATTATAACCATGGCTTTGAATCAATAACTGATAGAAAATTAGTAATGAAGAGAATAAGTTTATTGACATTTTCTTTTTATGATCCTAATAATAAAGATGCCAAAATTTGTGAAAACTCTTTGTCCCACATCGCCAAACTAAAGAAACAAAGCAGTGGAGTTTCACTATAAAAGAGGGGATTCACACTTTGTTGGGAAAAACAATCACAGGAGGTAGCTCATTTGATAACTTATTTTGAGTAAATTTCTTATCTGTGTTTTCTTTCAGGTAAATGACAGCGAATAAATATGATGCTGAAAGAGAAGCTTCTAATTCAAATAATATCAAGGTACACGGATAAGTATTAACCAACATCTCTTACATGGAATAGGAAACTCAACACCGAGGCAATTCCCCTTTCACAGTTTAGCATAAAGGTCTCAGAAGTAATTCGTCTGGTATGTATGCTATATCAATCATGAAATTAAAGTGAAAGAGTCTATATCAAAATCAGTACTCTTCACTTTATCAGTATTTTGTCCGTGGCAACAAACTCTGGTCATTTCTCTGGTCATTTATTGGATTTTTTAAAGTTGTTTTCTTGATTTGCATAGGCTCCATTAATATATCGCTTATGGCTTTGGTTACGAGAAGATGATTCAAAGGGAAACGGAAATGTATTTTTCTAACTCGTTAATATCATTATTTCTCTCACTAGTATTATAATAATCAAATGCACTAATTCAGTGACTTATTTATATATTGTATTTGTTTCAGGGAACTTTTGTGGACCCTTTCAAGAAACACTACTTTTCTTCTTGTTATGATGTTCCTTTAGGTGGTATTGGGTAAGCTCAATAAACTTTTGTATGATAAATTGATAATCACAACTCTTTCTTTTGGTCATTATATTTGAAAAAAACACATCTGGCAGTGCAGGTAGCATTGCAAGGACATATAAAGGAGAATTTTTGCGTTGGCAACTCTTTCCTAAAATATGTGAAGATAAACCAGTTTTAGCAAATCAATTTTCTGTAAGTTTTTTCTTCTTTTTAACAGATATTCATCACTTTAATATTCATAAATTATATCATATTTACTTTTTGACATTGTGTACATATTTGTCTCACGACCAAATGGAAACAAGACCTCCACTGTCCTCTGCCCACCAAACCCAAAACTGCTAAAGTAAGCAATTTTTCTCGTGTACCAAAATAATTATAAATTATGTGGAAGTTAAGATAAAAAAATATTATGTAGAAACATTAATTTAGATGTTAGACTACCAAATCTTTTACTTGCACCCTAACTAGCAAAATCACTATTTGTCTTGGATAAATTTTATTTTATAGATTTTGAATACCTAAATTTTGACTCTAAGATTGATAACACGACATTTGATTTTGTTTTTTCATTATGAGAATCTTGTTCTATATGTAAGAATGAATTAAACTGAAACTGAAAATAATGTGAAATTAATAGAGAGAGTTCGGTAGCTTTGGAATCTTATTTGCTGTTTTTGCACTTGTGAGCTGGTACGGGGGCGTTTTGGTCATTGAAAAAGGAGTCAAAGGTGGAGATATTCTCAGTGCTGGAATATGCGTTCTCTATGGAGGGTTGTAAGTATAAAAAAAATCACCATTGTGTCTCAGTTTAACTAGTATTCTTAATAGTTTTTTTTTTCAACAATCATTACAGTGGTCTTGGAGCCCAGATTAGTGAAATCATCAACAGGGTCCCACCTATAGACTCAACAGACAAACAAGGAAAAACAATATCCATAGTCAAAGGTGCATTAGAGTTCAAAGACATTGATTTCGCTTACCCTTCAAGACTAGAAACTTTGGTGCTAAAAAATTCAATCTCAAAGTCAATGCCTGTCAAACCGTTGGATTGGTTGGTCAAAGTGGGTCCGGTAAGTCAATGGTGGTCAATCTGCTAGAAAGATTCTATGATCCAATTGAGGGGGAGAAGGTTCAATTAAAATTTTCAAATATGCCCTTCCGTTTTCTTAAATATTTTATTAATCCAATACTACCCGAAAAGAATGCAGGTTGGGTGTGGGGTATTTATCAATATCAGCAGTCTATACAGTGTTGAGCTTTATAGGCCTCCAATATTGGACAAAAGTTTCTTATGTGAAATTAAAGTCAGATGGTTTGATGGGTGAAAACCTTCTCCACCCTGGTGTTGCCAACCGTGTATTGGAACTGTTGTTGAGTTCTTATACCACAGTTGCATTGGTGGTCAATTTTGTCCTCAACATTTTTATACTCATCATCCTCTCTCTTAAGGTATTCAACTTTCCTAAATCTTTACAATGAGTCTTGATTCTTTTTGATGATATATTTGGTCATGCAGACAACATTTTTTGATGAGCTGCATGCAACTGAATCTCGGAGAATGGTGGAGAGACTAGTTAATTATGTTATCTACAAGGGAACATTTCTTCCATTGGTAGTACCACCAACATTAGTTAGAGCAGGATTGTGGTCAACATGGTTGACTGTATTATGCTCTTTGAAGGTACTATTACTATTACCTCACATGGTTTTGGAGTATAGATATGAAGAAAATTTGGAGATTTTTTTTATGGGTTTTACTTTTATCATTTTGTGCAGATGTTTCAAGCTCTAGCCCGGGATCGGCTTGAACGGTTGAATGCATCTCCTTCTGCAACTCCATGGACTTACTTCCGTGTATATTGTGTTTTATTGCTGGTTGTCATTGTCGATGCAGTCTGGTATTTCCTCTAGAATTCTACTATTTCATAAATCTCAAGGACTTCCTTATTCATGCTTACTTCTCTCTCTCTCTCTCTCTCTCTCTCTCTCTCTTATATTATTTGCTGGTATTTGCAGGATAAGGACATGTCTACTGATCTACCAAACAATACCATCATTATGCAGAGTGAAGATACGGTGGAAAAAGCAGCATCTGTTGTTACAGAATTTAGTTTGGATGTTGAGGAGATTATTACTGAGGAGAATAATAATGTAAGTTGTGTTTAAAAAACTGGTTTATAAATTACATACAATAAGTTAAGTTTCTGAAGATTGAGAGAAGAATGTTATAAGAAACAAATGTCACATCCATTGGCATTGACATTTTGACATAGCAACAGGGTGAAGATGTGACAGAGAAGGCAGGAGAAGCAGAAGTAAATGTTGTGGAGGATTTGGATTTGGATTTGGATTCGAGGCAACCAGGTTTGACCCTTGTCTTGTTAATCTAATCATATGCTTTCTATATATAATTAATGCTGAATATATGATATATAGTATTTATTATATGAAGTTACTTTATCATCTGAATATGAAACTGAAACTGGTTAGAGATGATTATCTGTTGGCATAGGAAGATGAAAATGTTAAATAGAATAGTGTTTTTTTTAGATCATTGTTAATTTGCTGTAAGGTAAATACGACATCACATATTCAAAGGGGAAAAAAGCTAAGATCTTGAGTTGTGTTTAGTTTGCTATTCGGTGGATTTTTGCATATGAATTACTCTGACACTGACATAGTTCCAAGTTAATTTTGATTTTTTTTTTTTTTTAAATTAGCTGAAACAGATGCTGGTGACGTGAATATTGAGGAGGACATGGACATGGATACTAGTGGTCAAAGTCTTGATATTGTTCCTGTCCCTGAACAACAAAATGAGGTGAGGTTAAGGTTACTTTATTTATTTCTTATATAAAAAAATATTTGTAAAAAATCAGATTATTCCTAACAAACACTGAGTTCTAACTTTTAATAAATCAGATTATTTATTGCTTTTTACTACTTCTAAACTGCAATTCACACCTACAATATGCATGCTTTCTAATATACATCTCTATCTGCTGCTCAACTTAAGTAGCAACACATTAAGGGCATCTATGTTTTTGTTATTATTCTTTGAGCCTCTGAGTATTGCTTTCGAAACACTACAGGTACACACACACTCACTCACACACGCTGACCTATGTATTTATATACTTTTATTTTGTTTTAGGTTTTCATAATGTTTTTGGTTTAGGTGATTTTGGTTCATGGGTTTCAACTGGTTGATATATGGGTTCACCACTCAGCAGGCAACACCACAAATTCCAAAATATCAAAGCTTTTAGATATGTCAGCAGCAGGCAAGACCAAGAGCCTATGATTTTTATCATTGACTTGTTAAATAAAAATAAATCATGGGAATGGGAATGGATGTGTGCAGGTTCATTGTGGGAGTGGAAGAGTGTTATATTAAGGAATGTAGGGTTTTTCTCAGATATTATGACTTTGTTAATGGCTCTGGGTCATTATGTACAAATATGGCGCCTTCATGGCATGACATTCCATCTTGTCGATGCAATGCTTTTCTTAAATATACGTGTAAGTTTTTTTTAATACAAACAAAAAAATAGCATCATGCTACTTTTCCTTACAAGAATCTATTTTCATTTGTGATATGCAGGCGTTGGTAAGTGCAGTTGCAAAGCGTACGAGAGGTTTTATTAAGTTAAGAATCGCTTTGGGAACCCTTCATGGGGCTCTCCCTGATGCAACATCTGAAGAGATACTTTTCTTATGATGATGAATGTGCCACTGTTGCTGCTGTAAATATATCACAGGTAATAATAATAATAATAATATCATTATATTTGAATTTTGCAAGACCAATTGGCAGCTTGTTGCTTCAACACTTGAAGGAAGGACTGGTACCCAGTACTCGAATAGGTCAGTTACCATTTTTTTTATACTTTTTGCTTGGTGGAAATATATCACAGCTTGTTGCTTCAACACTGGAAGGAAGGACTGCTACTGTTTGGTATGTAGTGATCAAAGTTGGAATTAGAATTGTTCCGATTGTATTGAATAGAATGGAATAGTGCATTCCTTCTGCTAGGCTCATTTTCGATGGAATGGAATGACATAATCATAATATACTTTTATTTATATAATCTTTGATAACCCCTGGAACTAAAAGTTTCATTGTATAAGATCATTTTGTTTTTTAATCTTTCAAAAGTAACTATTTTTTATTTTAGTTCTATTTTAAGATTTCATTGGAATTTAATTTATTATAATCCTTTATTATTTTTAACAGATTTTAAAAGTGACTATATATCTATATGTTAACGACTAGTACAAAATGACTATTTTATTCAATTTAGTCCTTTCCAAAAGTAATTATTTTTTATTTTAGTTAATATAACAGTGCATCCTACTTCTTTTCTTGTAATTTCTTGATGTATATTTTGGGCTAAATGCTACTTTGATTTTTTTTTTCTGATGATGTATTTTTTTTTGGTAGTTTGTTGCTGGTTGTGGCAGTTTTTTGAGGGGACAGCAGGACAGATGCATGAGTCACTGTGTGTGACTTTGGCTTCTTTGCCAAAACCAACTAAATTTAATGCGATCTGATCTACCTCAACTTCAGGTACTCTTGCTGTTTTTGACTTTTTTTCATATAGTTTGGAACAAGAAATGTCTTATTTCGACCTCAATTATGATGCAGGAAGTTGGAGAAAAGGGTAATTTTGTCTTTTACAACTACCATTCCATGTTTGATTCTTCTAATAATTATATTAGCATATTAATTTTTTGATTTTTATTTGATCAGGTCACAAGAATTATCGGAGCAGGGGTTCATTAGTCTTAAATTAAGAATTATGCAAGGCAAGATGCAACTCTATTTAGTTGGAATTTGATGTTTATCATCTTTGTGTATATCTTTTTAGTTTCTATAGCATTACATTGCAGAAGGTGTCCCTTAATAGCAATGTAGGAGTATTAGGTTAGATAGTTAGGGAAAACCTCTTAATAGCAATGTACAATTAGATCCCATTAATATCAATGTATTACAATTTTTTTGACATGATGTTATTGGATGAAATTGATTGTTTTTGTATATATTTGTTTACATATTTTTGTATTATGCGTAAATGAGTATCGTAAAGACGCGTCGTAAATGCGTATCGGAAATGGTTACTGAAGTTTATGACACGCAAATGCGTGTCATCTTCATTTATGACAGGGGCTTCCTTGATACGCATTGCGTGTCATAAACACGCGCGTCGTAAGGTTACGACACACAAATGCGTGTCGTCTTCCGTTATGACAGGGCCTTCCTTGATACGCATTATGTGTCATAAACGCGCGTCGTAAATGCGCGTCGTAAATGAGCGTCGTAAATGCGCGTCGTCTCCCTTTATGACAGGGCCTTCCTTGACGCGCATTTGCGCGTCGTCTGAGCGTTTTACGACGAGCTATGAGCGTCGTAAAAGGCTGTTTTTCTAGTAGTGAGTCTTTTTGTCAACTTAGATAATCAGAGTGTCAGAAGTAACTCTATTATCCAGTCTTATGTATGTTTATGGTTTGTACTATGTACCTCATTCTCCTATTAAAGGAACATTCAATGACAACATCAATAGACGGATTGTTCAAACAAATATAGCATCATTCTAGTTTACTTCACCTTTTAAGTTATTCTCTACAACATTCTTCTTTTTCTTCATTTATTTTCTTTACCTTGATCATTATCTTCACTCTTCATTAATATCTTGAACACTTTGTTGATTGTATTAACCCAGACTTGACTGGTCTTGCAAGACTTGACTGGAACATTTCTTAGTAAGCAGACATTGATCTTAAGCATTAACTCAAGGTTTGAGTTTTCAAACCTTGTCCCTGCGCACCAGATCTCTTGTTCTCACATCTAGTCATGCTGAAGGCTCTGTATTTGTGTCAACCTAGGTGTAGGTCATCCAATTTATCTCCTTTTGATTCATAGCAGTAACGTTCTGGTTCATCGGTTGAAGGATCAGTGTTTTGTTCCCGGTTAGAAGAAGGGGGCGGGAGTGTTTGGTTTCCAGGTGGGTGGTAAGGAGTGATTTTAAGGACGAAATCCAATTTATGTGAGGGAGAGTTGCAATACCATGTTCTGAATCGTTTCTTAATGCGGGGCCGTGACCCGACGACCAGTTATCATAAGGCTTAGGGCCTATGAGAAATGGGGATTTAGACCCATTTGGGTGTGGATAAGGTAGGGTAGATGATCTAGAAATTCGGTTTGCGATTCGGAGCCCAAGGGAGCAATCGTAAAGTGCCAGTCAGGCCTTTTATGAATTTTGTATTTTTGTTCGGAAAGTTTTAAGGCAAGGATGAGTTGATAGAATTGTAGATGTTCTCGTTACCTTTTTCGTGGATAAAAGGATCGTCAGAAACAGACTTATAACGAAGTAGTTATGGCCTTCGGAAGTTTGGGGAATTTACACCCTGTTCCCGAGTTCAACTTAACGAGAGAAAGGAAAGGAAATGGGTGGAAATGAGCAGAAAACAAAAGAATTTGGTGTTCCCGAGTTTCATTAAAGGAGGGAAGTGGAAGGAAGTGGAGGGAAATGGGAGGATCACTTTACCTCCTAACTTTCCTTCCGATTTGGGAGGATTTGGAAAGAAAGAACAAAATGATTTATTTTCCTTCCACTTCTCTCTAACTCGGGAACACAAAAGAAAAATTTATTTTCCTTTACTTTCTCTTTTCTCTCCTGATTTTCTTTTCTCATCTCTTCCTTTCTTTTGTTAAACTCGGGAACGAGGCGTTAGGGTTAACTGAGTAAGCGGGGTGTACACAAGTGTACGCATGGCATACTAGTGTAAAGGCCAGTATGCGGGGTGTACATTAGTGTACCTTGGGCGTACTAAAGGATACGATTGCAGAGCCGTAAGGGAGTACGCTAGGCATGCCAGAAGTACGATGGGCGTACTCCAGTCAGACCAAAACCCTAATTTAGGGTCTTGGACCCTATTTAAGCACCTTAAGTCACCACCAAACCCTATTATCTTTAGTCTCCGTCCCCTTCAACCCTAAAAATGAAACCATAGCCTCCATTGGTGTGGTTCTTGAGTTCTTGGTGGTATTTCATGCATTTTGGTGCTCATGGAAGAAGAAGAAGGAGCTTCTTGGAGAAGTGTGGGATTGCTTGGAGCTTGTGGATCTAGGCTTAGTGCATCAAGGTATAAATCTTCAAATTTGATGACTCTATTCATAGATCTTGTTATGGCATAATTTCATGTGCTTTTGTCCCAAAGTTTGGATATTTGTGAGTATGGAGTACTCCAAAGAATATTAGCTGTCCTTTTTGAGGTCTTGAAGTGTATTGAGCCATAAAAATGCCTGCTTGATTGTTTCCTTAGCACAATGCAAGAGTTAAGTGGTTTTGAGTGTTGCGAAAAGAAGGATTTTGGAGATTTAGCCCTCTTTAGCCAAGCAAAGGCTTAAAGGTTTCAACTTTATGGTTTACGACATAATTTAGGGTTAAGAGAAGTGGTTGGATGCCTTTAACTTAACCCAATAAGAGCTTTATGTGAATTTTTGGCCCCTGATGAGTATGTTGGGCGTACTTAGAAGTACGCTCAGCATAAATGGAGTTTCATGCTTTAAGGACTTGTACTTTGCGCTTAGATGGTGAGTACGTGGGGCGTACACTTCTGGTACGCTTTGCATACTCCCCATGATGTGAAAATTTGGGTTTTTGGTTTGGGCCTTGTTGGGCCATTGGACTTCTAACCTTGGGCCATGGATTGATTATGGGGTTTCTTGGAATTTGATTCATGATGGTCTTTTGGGCCCAATTAGGAAGTTGGGTCATATCAGGCCTTCGTTTTGGGCTAAGTAAGAAAAAGGGTAAAATGGTATTTTACTCTGGTTATTAGGCAAGTATTTTGGATTCTTGCTTATAGGTCGAGATTCAATTATTAATTGGATGATATTTGATGGTTCTAGGGCACGGGGATTTCCGGATAAGCGGTCCTAGCACTTGTCTGAGATATTCAGCCGCTTCGGGTGAGTTTTCCTCAGTGTACTTGCGGGTCGAAGGCACCAAGGCCGGCCCTTTGGATTCGATATACTGTTATGTATGCTATTATGATGTAGCGATATGTTAGATCGATATTCTGGTATATAGGATGATGCTATGCTTAGGGATTTGTAGATCTGTTTGATTGTCTGTAGACTGTTTATATGATTATCTGTTATATGTGCATATATGTGGTTGGTGGTTGAGGCTTTACTGCTTTGTGTGTAAGCCAACAGACCGGGGGCGTACCAACCCGATGGTTGGTTGGGCCCGAGGGTATTTCATCCTGAGGATAATATGACCCGTTGTATATTGGCATTCCAACCCGATGGTTGATTGGGCATGGGGTATTCCAACCCAATGGTTAACTGGACCCATAGTATATTGGTATTCCGACCCGATGGGTTACTGTACCCATATTATATTGGCATTCCAACCCAATGGTTAACCGGGCTAGAGGTATTCAATCCCGATGGTTGATTGGACCCGACATGTTGTTATTTGTATATGTTATATATTTGTTTGTTGGTACTTTGGGGAAACTCACTAAGCTTCGTGCTTACTGTTTTAGTTTATGGTTTCAGGTTCTTCAGAGGACCATGGCGAGGTGAAGGCATGACCGTACACATCCTTGGTTTTACTACGGACTGGATCTTGAAAGACTCTAATTTTAAATAATGTTTTGAAACAATGATTTTTTAAACACTTTTATTAGTAAATGGGTTGTTTTAAAAGGTTTAAATTTGTTGAAATTTTTGGGATGTTACTAAAACACACGTATTCTTATGAAACAAAATAGGTGGAAAACATACTTTCAGAATAATCATTGGATTGCAGTTTATATTTCATATTTTAGTACTTTTTATGTTGCCAATCGTTATGGCTTCTTCTAGATTTTCAGAATTCTTGTACCCTAGTCTAGGGGATATGTAATTTACTCTCTAGAAGAAATAAAAATATCTATTTCATATCATATTGTTGTATTGTTCAATGTATGCAAATAACTGTGACCATGATGTTGTGTCAGCGCCCAACATTTTCGTCATTAGCTGGAGGTGTGACAGATTGGTATCATCCAAAAAATTGAAAGTAAATGAGCCATTATGGCTTTAATAACAATTGTTAATCATGTGCGAATGATTGGCAAGCACGAGAATGAATAATCTTAAAGAAAACAAACATATATGATGAGTTAATTGATAATGTATTAAAAAAAAAGCTAAGACTATACAATAAAATGAGAGAGAGAGAGAGAGAGAGTTTTCTCAAGCACATACTCTTTCTCTCTATACTATGACTAGAGAAAAAAAGGAATATACTTATATAGAAATTGTCCTAATAGCAAAATAATAGAAATGGTGTCATATTTCACAAGATTGTACGAATAGTATCTGTCTAACAGAAAACCTTGTGCAACATACCATTATAGATATTATGTAAAATAAAACATAGAATTGATAAGCCCACCGCAACACAACAACCATCCCTAGTTGATTAATGATTACAAAATCTTAAATTGAGACGGTTGTAACCGACATACTTTCCCCGCTCCAACACTATATTTTTATAGTATTGGGATGTTGACCATTTTCATAGAAAGCAAATATATTAAGTGAATTAAGATAATGGTTCAAATGTAAAATACAAAACCAATGGTTTATTACAGCCTATTAGGTGTTGTTTGTTTTTTGTAAAAATCTTTTTCAAACCTCTTATTGTTGCGCGCCGCAGCACCCGCGCCGCACTTTAGCTGTTTGTTTTTTAGAAGTCTTCAGAGTTAAAAATCTCTATGCGTGTTCTATTTGGCGCAACATTTGTATTGTCTCTTTTTTTTTTTTTTTGCTGAAATCTTGATTATATGTTGTTGAAATCTTATTATCTATTTTTCGTTTTTGTTTGTTTATTTTTGTTGAATTTTTTTTATATTGAATAATGATAATTTTTTGATGAAATATAATTATTTTTTGCTAAAATATATTTATTTTTTGTT